ATTACCAATAGAGTTTCACTACAATTTCTATCTACATCTTCTCTAGAAAATTCCCAAATTCACCTAGTTAACCCGGGCCACTAATGACTAACACAGAACGTAGGCACAACTACTATGTTTTAGAGGAACTAGTTAGCTGCGCGGAAGGACTCAAGGCCGAGGGGGGAATGTGGGTGGTGTATCACTACGCCAAGCTCAACCATATGAATAATTGTGTTGATGGACCGAACCCTCAGTACTGGCTAGGGGAAGGAGGGGTGTAGAACGATGAGGGTGAGTTGGGGAGAGTGGTAAGGGAAAGATGGGGAGAAGATTGATATGAGATGGTAAAGAGGAGATTTGTGAGAGTAGGAAGAGCTTGAGGGAGAGGGTAAGAGTGGTGCCGTGTAGAGGAGGTCCCCAACACCTAAGGCTACGGCCTAATTACTGTAGGTAGTTATGAAGTCACTCTACCCTGCTAAGTGCTCTTTCACCTCCTATCCCCTACCCCCTTCTCTCCCTCCCTCCCCTACTCCCCCCCCTTCTCTTCCTCCCCTTCTCTCCCTCCCTCCCCTACCTCCTTCCATCCCTTCTCTCCCTCCCCCCTCCTCCCCTTCCTTCCTACTCCCTCCCCTTCTCTTCCTCCCCTTCTCTTCCTCCCTCCCCTACCCCTTCCATCCTTCTCTCCCTCCCTCCCTCTCCCCCCTTCTCTCCCTCCTCCCCTCTCCCCCCTTCTCTCTCCTCTCTCTCCCCCTCCCCCTCCCCTCTCCCTTCTCTTCCCCCTTCTCTCCTCCCCCCTCTCCCTCCTCCCCCTCCCCCCTCTTCCTCCCTTCTCTCCCTCCCCTCCCCTACCTCCTTCCATCCCTTCTCTCCTCCTCCCCTACTCCCCCTTCTCTTCCTCCTCCCTCCCTCCCCTTCTCTTCCCTCCCTTCTCTTCCTCCCTCCCCTACCCCTTCCATCCCTTCTCTCCCTCCCTCCCCTCTCCCCCTTCTCTCCCTCCCTCCTCCCCCCCTCTCTCCCTCCTCCCCTCTCCCCTTCTCTCCTCCCTCCCTCCCCTCCCCCTTCTCTTCCCCCCTTCTCTTCCTCCTCCCTACCCCCTTCCATCCCTTCTCTCCCTCCCCCCTCCCCCTTCTCTCCTCCCTCCCCCTCTCCCCCTTCTCTTCCTCCCTCCCCTACTCCCCTCCCCTTCTCTTCCCCCTTCTCTTCCTCCCTCCCCTACCCCTTCCATCCCTTCTCTCCTCCCCCCTCCCCCCTTCTCTCCCTCCTCCCCTCTCCCCTTCTCTTCCTCCCTCCCTACTCCCCTCCCCCTTCTCTTCCCCCCTTCTCTTCCTCCCTCCCCTACCCCCTTCCATCCCTTCTCTCCCTCCTCCCCTACTCCCCCCTTCTCTCCCTCCCTCCCCTACTCCCCTTCTCTTCCTCCCTCTCCCCTCCCCTTCTCCCTTCTCTTCCTCCCCCTCTCCCTTCCTCCTCCCTCCCCTCTCCCCCTTCCTCCCTCCCTCTCCCCTCTTCCTCCCTACCCCTTCCATCCCTTCTCTCCCTCCCTCCCCTACTCCCCCTTCTCTCCCTCCCTCCCCTCTCCCCTTCTCTTCCTCCCTCCCTACTCCCTCCCCTTCTCTTCCCTTCTTCTCCCTCCCCTACCCCCTTCCTCCTTCTCCCTCCCTCCCCTACTCCTCCCCCTTCCCCCCTTCTCTTCCTCCCTCCCCTCCTTCCATCCTTCTCCCCTCCTCCCCTTCCTCCCCTTCTCTTCCCCCCTTCTCTTCCTCCCTCCCCTACCTCCTTCCATCCCTTCTCTCCCTCCCTCCCCTCCCCCCCCCTTCTCTTCCTCCCTCCCTACCTCCTTCCATCCCTTCTCCCCTCCTCCCCTCTCCCCCTTCTCTCCTCCCTCCCCTACCTTCCTTCCCCCCTCCCTCCTCCCCTCCCCCTTCTCTCCTCCCCCTCCCCCCCTTCTCTCCTCCCTCCCCTACCCCCCCCCTCCTCCCTCCTTCCCCCCTTCTCTTCCTCCCTCCCCTACCTCCTTCCATCCCCTTCTTTCCCTCGCTTTTATTATTCTTCCCCATCACCACTCTTGTTCCCTCTCTCTGCAGGCACCACACACACACTAGTGACCTCGGGCCAGTTGCCATTAACCCTATACCCAGTCTACTCTGTGATGACTTTGTTTTTGAATGGGCATTTGCTAGTATTTATCCGTCAATTGATCCACATCAATTTGGCAATATGAGGACCTCCTCTACGTCACACTGCTTAGTTAGTTTTCTTGATTTTCTGCACAAAAGCCTGGAGAAGCGTAAGACATCACTGGCCGTTGCCCTTGTTGACTTCAGAAAGGCGTTTGACCTTGTTGATCACTGTGTAACAGCACAATTTGTATTATATAAATATATACCCAATGTATATTACCCATGTATTCACCAAGTCATTCATCCATGAGTATGAATCAATTGGTGAGTTGACATTTCCTCCATGGAGCGAGCGAGGGCAGCGCCTCTCAATAACAACAACCTGACGCGTATCCTGTAGGGCGCCCGCCTGACAGATGTGCGTGAGAGAGAGACTATCATATCACCTGTTACCCAGTGAACACCTCACTTAAGTGCTCTCCCATATAAGTGCACTAAGACACTTCCCTTAGTATAGAAGAGAAGGTACAATATGCTCTCAACTGAACTCAGTACCTGTGAAACTATATTTTTCTACAATAAAATAAAACCAATGAAGTGTTTACTTTAGCCCAGTCACTTATCAAATCATAATATATATATATATATATATATATATATATATATATATATATATATATATATATATATATATAAAATATATATATTGTGTGACCAACACAACTGCACTGTTATCAACAAGGCCATTGCACTAGGACTGTCCACCAACCTGGTCTCATGGCTCACTGATTTCTTGAGTGAGCGTCGTCAGGCAGTGAGGTACCAGGGTTCTGTTTCCACATTCCAACACCTCACCTGCGGTGTTCCCCAGGGGACCAAGATGGGACCACTGTGCTTCCTAATCCTGATCAAAGACGCTCTATCGGACACTCCTCACAGGTGGAAGTACGTGGATGACTGCACTGTAGGGGTTACAGTGGACAACACCTCACCGGACTACTCATCACTACAAGGCACCCTGGACAGGCTACAGGCATGGACTATGGAGAACAAGGTCACCATCGATCACACCAAAACCGTAGTCATGCACATCAATACCGCCACCACTCCAGTGCAAGCTCCAGCAGTTACAGTGGGTGCCCATCCTCTCCAGTTAGTGCAGTCTGCCAAACTCCTGGGGTGTAACTATAGACCACAAACTGGATTGGAAGACCCATGTAAGAAACACAGTCAAGGCAGCCTCGTACCGACTCTACGACGACTCAGGTCACTTGGGGCACCCACGCCAGAGCTGAGGACTATCTACAACGTATTTATTCTCCCAAAATTAACGTATGTGTCACCAACCTGGTCGTCTTCTCTCAACTCTACCCAACAACGTCAGCTAGAGAAGGTACAGAAGAGGGCCTGCAGAATCATGCTTGGTGCAGACTACTCCGCCTACAACAACGCTCTCTCCACCCTGGAAATGCCATCCCTCAGTGACCTCCACCACCACGTACTAGCAGGGTTTGGCAGTGGACTACTGCACCATCCTCGTCATCGCCACCTACTGCACCTGCAGTCCCCCGCCCACCTCGCACAGTCCGCCACTACAACAAAATTCAGCCCATAAGAGCCCGCACTGATTGATTTAAGACTAGCACCATCCCAGCTATTGCTAAAATAATAAACAGCTCCTGATATATGTACTGTACAGCCATGTAAATGTATTTAACGTATATCATTATGTCTAAATCACATGTAAGTTTGTATATTTTCAGCCACCGGCTGCAACTCTATTAATAAACCGTTTATTATTGTTATTATTATTGTTATTGTTATTATTATTATTATTATTATTATTATTATTATTATTATTATTATTATTATTATTATTATTATTAGTAGTAGTAGTAGTAGTAGTAGTAGTAGTAGTAGTAATATTTTTATTATTATTAAACACACACACACACACGTTCCTCTTAGCTTTATACTTGTATTACCGTGATATATGTGGCTCCTCCAACTTTCTGGTAAGTGTGTGTGTTTCAGTCTTTTGTGTCCTGGAGACTATTGGTTCAAGGTCTAGTGTTATGAGAGTGTTTCCTCCAAGATGCGAGTCTCTGAATTCTTTTGTACTACAATTGTGTGTCGGAAAAAATGTCTTTTAAGTTTTGGAGGAGAAAGGACTCCTGGACGAGTATCTTGTGAGTACGCTAGAGTCGTGTCCTGAATACCTTTGACTTTTTACAATCGAGAGTAGAGTTACGATACCCTCTTGTGTTCTGAAAACTTGTAGGTATTGTACCTCTTAAGAGCAGTGTAGAGGAAGTCTTTCTCAATATGTCTTACGTTATATGAGTGTGTAATTTGCGACGAATGTTTCTGTCTCGTGGAGAAAGAGAGACGAGCTGAAAATAAAGAATGGTTTTTATATATACAGTACAGTATGTCTCATCTCATTATACACGCTGATGTTCCTTTACCTTTTCCTTCCCAATAAATACCACGAGCTACCTTACCTTACCTTACTTTACCTTACCTTACCTTACCTTACCTTACCTTGCCTTACCTTACCTTACCTTACCTTACCTTACCTTACCTTACCTTACCTTATGTGTTTTTGGCGGACGATTTACCTCCTGTTTTTATCAACCACTTTGTCGTGAATGGATTAATACATTTTCTTATTTTCAGGAAACGTTCCAGCACAGTTTTTTTCTTACCATAAGCGTAAGAGAAAACATTTTAGCCTCGGGTTTAGGCGGGGAAAACAGTTGAACATCGGGATATGAAGGGAAATATTTTTATTTGGTTTTGGTGACGTCAGCTGATTGGTGGACCTTGGCAGGACGAAATGGATATTGATGATTTGTCTGTCTGTGGTGTCATGAGTGGTCGTTGTCTAGTGGTCGTTGTCTAGTGGTCGTGGTCTGGGGGTCGAGGTCTGATGGTTGTGTTCTGGTGGTTGTGATCTGGTGGTCGTGATCTAGTGGTCGTGGTCTGGTGGTCGTGGTCAGGTTTTTCGTGATCTAGTCGTCTTAGTCTAGTGGTAGTGGTCTGGTAGTCGTGGTCTGGTGGTCGTGATCTGGTGGTTGTGGTCAAGTGGTCGTGGTGCAGTGGTCGTGGTCTGAGAATCACGGTCTGGGATCGTGGGATGGTGGTCGAGGTCTGGTGGTCGTGGTCTAGTGGTCGTGGTCTAGTGGCCGTGACCTGGTGGTTGTGATCTGGTGGTCGTGGTCTGGTGGTCCTGGTCTGTGGCCGGGATCTGGTGGTCGCGGTCTGGTGGTCCTGGTTCAGGCTTCCATCTGGTGGTCGTGATCTGTGGTCCTGAATCTGGTGGTCCTGGTCTGGTGGTCGGGATCTGTGGTCGTGGTCTGGTGGTCCTGGTCTGGTGGTCGTGGTCTGCGGTCGTGATCTGCGGTCCTGGTCTGCGGTCGCGACTAGTGGTCCCACGGTGGTCGGTCAGGTCGTGATCTGGTGCCGCCCAGGTGTGGTGTGGGTAATGGAGGCGCCCAGGTGTGGTGTGGGTAATGAAGGTGCCCAGGTGTGTGTGGGTAATGAGGTGCTGCCCAGGTGTGGTGTGTGGGTACGAGGTGCCGCCCAGGTGTGTGGTAATAATAATAATAATAATAATAATAATAATAATAAACGGTTTATTGAAAAAATTCTGCAGCCCGAAGGCTGAAAATATACATTGGACATAAATGACTTATTACATACATTGGTGGTTTAACAAAAGCCTTCATTAGAGAAAGGTAAAGGAACATACAGTGAACATACAGATTGATGTAGGTGTTGAACAGCAAACTCGTAGTGTAGTAACTCCCTCCCAGATGGTGTTAGGAGGAACTCACGTGGTGTAGTAGTTCCCTCAGATGTTGTTATGAGGGACCTGGCGTGGTGTAGTAATTCCCTCGCTGATGGTGTTATGAGGGGCCTCACGTGGTGTAGTAATTCCCTCACAGATGGTGTTATGAGGGACCTCACGTGATGTAGTAACTCCCTCACAGATGGTGTTATGAGGGGCCTCACGTGGTGTAGTAATTCCCTCACAGATGGTGTTATGAGGGACCTCACGTGGTGTAGTAACTCCCTCACAGATGGTGTTATGAGGGGCCTGACGTGGTGTAGTAATTCCCTCACATATGGTGTTATGAGGGACATGTGGTGTAGTAATTCCCTCACATATGGTGTTATGAGGGACTTGACGTGGTGTAGTAATTCCCTCACAGATGGTGTGATGAGGGACTTGACGTGGTGTAGTAATTCCCTCACATATGGTGTTATTAGGGACATGTGGTGTAGTAATTCCCTCACAGATGGTGTTATATGAGTGAGGTTTGGTCCAAGGCCTTCCTATCGTAGACGGATTAACACATCGGTGGTTGTTGTTGGGTCTCGCAGGGGCCGTTATCACTGGGTACCTGGGACCTCACTGTGTGAAGGTTAACTTGGGTACGACTGTTACTGTTGAGTTGTTCTCACTGACTTAAGCACTGTTCACCACTGTTCACCTCTGCTTAACACTGGTTCCGTTCCTTTCATAAATGAAATTGTAACTTCTGGCGAGAACTTGTTCATATTCCGGTGGGGAGGAGGGTTCAGGGGAGGGGGTTGGTATGGGCCAACTTAACAGTTGACCTGGCTGCTCCGAGAGGAGCGCCAGGTACGTCTTGACCCTTCAGTGGTCAAGGATGTGTGGGTAATGAGGTGCCGCCCAGGTGTGGTGTGGGTAATGAGGTGCCGCCCAGGTGTGTTGTGGGTAATGAGGTGCCGCCCAGGTGTGTTGTGGGTAATGAGGTGCCGCCCAGGTGTGTTGTGGGTAATGAGGTGCCGCCCAGGTGTGGTGTGGGTAATGAGGTGCCGCCCAGGTGTGGTGTGGGTACGAGGTGCCGTCCAGGTGTGTGTGGGTAATGAGGTGCCGCCCATATGTGGTGTGGGTAATGAGGTGCCGCCCAGGTGTGTGGGTAATGAGGTGCCGCCCAGGTGTGGTGTGGGTAATGAGGTGCCGCCCAGGTGTGGTAATAATAATAATAATAATAATAAACGGTTTATTGAAATTAAGCCCGGAAGGCTACATTGGACATAAATGACTTATTACATACATTGGTGGTTTAACAAAAGCCTTCATTAGAGAAAGGTAAAGGAACATACAGTGAACATACAGATTAATGTAGGTGTTGAACAGCAAACTCGTAGTGTAGTAACTCCCTCCCAGATGGTGTTAGGAGGAACTCACGTGGTGTAGTAGTTCCCTCAGATGTTGTTATGAGGGACCTGGCGTGGTGTAGTAATTCCCTCGCTGATGGTGTTATGAGGGGCCTCACGTGGTGTAGTAATTCCCTCACAGATGGTGTTATGAGGGACCTCACGTGATGTAGTAACTCCCTCACAGATGGTGTTATGAGGGGCCTCACGTGGTGTAGTAATTCCCTCACAGATGGTGTTATGAGGGACCTCACGTGGTGTAGTAACTCCCTCACAGATGGTGTTATGAGGGGCCTGACGTGGTGTAGTAATTCCCTCACATATGGTGTTATGAGGGACATGTGGTGTAGTAATTCCCTCACATATGGTGTTATGAGGGACTTGACGTGGTGTAGTAATTCCCTCACAGATGGTGTGATGAGGGACTTGACGTGGTGTAGTAATTCCCTCACATATGGTGTTATTAGGGACATGTGGTGTAGTAATTCCCTCACAGATGGTGTTATATGAGTGAGGTTTGGTCCAAGGCCTTCCTATCGTAGACGGATTAACACATCGGTGGTTGTTGTTGGGTCTCGCAGGGGCCGTTATCACTGGGTACCTGGGACCTCACTGTGTGAAGGTTAACTTGGGTACGACTGTTACTGTTGAGTTGTTCTCACTGACTTAAGCACTGTTCACCACTGTTCACCTCTGCTTAACACTGGTTCCGTTCCTTTCATAAATGAAATTGTAACTTCTGGCGAGAACTTGTTGATATTCCGGTGGGGAGGAGGGTTCAGGGGAGGGGGTTGGTATGGGCTAACTTAACAGTTGACCTGGCTGCTCCGAGAGGAGCGCCAGGTACGTCTTGACCCTTCAGTGCTCAAGGATGTGTGGGTAATGAGGTGCCGCCCAGGTGTGGTGTGGGTAATGAGGTGCCGCCCAGGTGTGTTGTGGGTAATGAGGTGCCGCCCAGGTGTGTTGTGGGTAATGAGGTGCCGCCCAGGTGTGTTGTGGGTAATGGGGTGCCGCCCAGGTGTGGTGTGGGTAATGAGGTGCCGCCCAGGTGTGGTGTGGGTAATGAGTGCCGCCCAGGTGTGGTGTGGGTAATGAGGTGCCGTCCAGGTGTGGTGTGGGTAATGAGGTGCCGCCCATGTGGTGTGGGTAATGAGGTGCCGCCCAGGTGTGGTGTGGGTGACGGGTTGCCCAGGTGTGGTGTGGGTAATGAGGTGCCGCCCAGGTGGTGTGGGTAATGAGGTGCGCCCAGGTGTGGTGTGGGTAATGAGGTGCCGCCCAGGTGTGGTATGGGTAAGGAGGTGCCGCCCAGGTGTGGTGTGGGTAATGAGGTGCCGCCAGGTGTGGGTGTGGTGTGGTGCCGCCCAGGTGTGCTGTGGGTAATGAGGTGCCGCCCAGATGTGGGTGTGGGTAATGAGGTGCCGCCCAGGTGTGGTGTGTGAGGTGCCGGGTGTGGTGTGGGTAATGAGGTGCCGCCCAGGTGTGGTGTGGGTTGAGGTGCGCCCAGGTGTGGTGTGGGTAATGAGGTGCCGCCGGGTGTGGTGTGGGTAATGAGGTGCCGCCCAGGTGTGGTGTGGTAATGAGGTGCCGCCCAGGTGTGGTGTGGGTAATGAGATGCCGCCCAGGTGTGGTGTGGGTAATGAGGTGCCGCCAGGTGTGGTGTGGGTAATGAGGTTGCCGCCCAGGTGTGGTGTGGGTAATGAGGTGCCGCCCAGGTGTGGGTAATGAGGTGCCGCCCAGGTGTGGTGTGGGTAATGAGGTGCCCCTGGTGTGGTGTGGGTAATGAGGTGCCGCCCAGGTGTGGTGTGGGTAATGAGGTGCCGCCCAGGTGTGGTGTGGGTAATGAGGTGCCGCCCAGGTGTGGTGTGGGTAATGAGGTGCCGCCCGGGTGTGGTGTGGGTAAAGAGATGCCGCCCAGGTGTGGTGTGGGCAATGAGGTGCCGCCCAGGTGTGGTGTGGGTAATGAGGTGCCGCCCAGGTGTGGTGTAGATGTGGGGTGCCCAGGTGTGGTGTCGAGTCATTTTCTTGCTTGTGGAGGTAGATTATTTAGTGTGTGTGTGGGGCCGTCCTGTTTCACGCACCCCTTCCACCCCTCTCCTTCCCACACCCCTCCCTTCCCACCCCTCCCTTCCCACCACTCCCTTCCCTCCTTCCCACCCCTCCCTTTCCCACCCTCCCTTCCACACCCTCCCCTTCCCACCCCTTTCTTTTCCACCCTCCTTCCCACACCCTCCTTCCCACCCCTCCTTCCCACACCCCTCCTTCCCACCCTCCTTCCCACCCCTCCCTTCCCACACCCCTCCCCTTCCCACACCTCCCCTTCCCACACCCTCCCCTTCCCACACCCCCTCCCTTCCCACACCCTCCTATTCCCTCCATTATCCTCCAGGGTCTTGTTGGAACACAGAAGCAGGCAGGTCGGGGAACTGAGAGAATGTGATATTATACTGGTAATGTATAGGTAGTGGCCGCCAGGAGTTGAGATAAGAAGCGAGTGAGACCAGGTGTGTGTGTGTCTGTGTGTGTGTGTGTGTGTGTGTGTGTGTGTGTGTGTGTGTGTGTGTGTGTGTGTGTGTGTCCATTTTCTTTATATACTTACATGTCTTTATTGTCTGTTTCTTTGTTTTCTTGTTTAAGCGGTTTTACCCTGATTGAAGACTCATTATGGCTGTAGTCTCTTCTAGTTCCCTATTGTCTTCATTCGTCTTTATTAATTTTTGCTTTTGTTTCCCTTTTCTGTGTTTGTTGTTATTGTTTTACCGTAGTTTTGTTATTGTATTGTTTTATTTGTTTGTATTGATGTTTTATATCTTCTTGTGTTTTATTCGTTAAGAGTTAAAATGATATGTGGATGGCTGCAGTAAGTAAGCTTATTTAACACGTTTTACACACACACACACACACACACACACACACACACACACACACACACACACACACACACACACCTCCAAGTATTTTGTTAAGCTCCTCCTCTTTCACCAAGTCCGCCCAAGGCCCTGTAACTCCTCCCACTAGGCCACGCCTCTTTCCCCACCCCATTACCTCCTCCTCTCTCCTTCCCACTTTTCCGTCTCACCTCCTCTTCATCCTTCACCTCTCTCTCACCTTTCATCCATTCATCACTACTTCTCATCACCTACTGTACCACCTCTCTCTCTCTCTCTCTCTCTCTCTCTCTTC